TTTTTTTTTCCCCTCTTCAAATCGTTTGTCATGAATGGTTTCATGTGGTGGGAAAAAGCTTTTTGTTTTTTTGTGTATCTCTTCAATTTTTTTTATTTCTTTTTTTCTCTCTCTTCAATTCGTTTGTCATGAATGGTTTCGTGTAGCGGGATGACATGTAGACCTTCGCTCACCATGTTACATGCGCACTTTGCTAGACACTGATGACACAGAAAGTGAACGGAACTCGTTGTTGCGGTTGCTTGCGTTTCCCCGACCAAAATAGCCTATCTGTTGTTGTGTTTTTGAAATTGTTAAGTGGCGATTGGCATCCTCATGTCACACTTCTTGCTTTCGTACGTGGGTGTGCATATAGGCGATCAAGTCGAAATTTCGCGGTCATCCAATGTTAAACCTACTTATGTGGAATCTTCGCATGCATTCCCGTGACTTCATGCTCAACAAATCTTTCCTGCATGTCGTCACGCCAATGTCGAGAACATAAAAAAAAAAAAAAGGCACACAAGGAAACTCGATGACACGCACCACAGTTGTGTCCCACACAAGAGATGAAACAATACTTCAATGCGGCTTGGCGATTACAAGCTTTGCAAACTCATCGTCAAAACAAATTGAAGAAATCGTCCCTTCGATTACAACATCCGAAAACAAATGCACTGACATGCTTCCGGGTAAAAGAGTTCCGCCGATCATACTCTCCCCGACATCTACCCGCCGATCATACTCTCCCCGACATCTACCCGCCGATCATACTCTCCCCGAGAACACATGCACTCACATGCACTGACCAAAAAAACAAAACGACAAACTGACTGCACAACGACAGCCCGAAGGGGCCGTCTTGCCGAGCATATTCACACCGGCGAGCACTGCCGCACTCGCACGAAATACACGATGGACAAGATCATCATCGTCATCATCATCATCATCACCATCAACGTCGTTGTCGTCATCACCATCATCATCGTCATCATCATCATCATCGTCACCATCATCATCGTCGTCGTCATCATCATCAACATCATCATTGTCATCATCATCATCATCATCATCGTCACCATCATCATCATCATCCTATGCGTCGTCTTTGTCGTCATCATCATCGTCGACAACGCCGGCGGGATCATCCTCTTCGTTCCACCCCGCACAAGGTTGGCCTTCATCATGGCCGTCGTCGCCGTGCCATGCCGTGCGCCGTAGTGCGGGCCGACCGTCCTCGCCAATCCCCAGATCCAGGTTCCGTCGTCCACTCACACAACCCCCTTCCCCCAAGCCCCCTCCTCCACCGACGGTCATCCATCTTCGTCGTCGTCGCATGTCGGAGGGCCTCTGCCCAACCACTCATTGACAAGCCCTCTCGCCTCGTCGGGGCCCGTCAAGCTCGCGTCATGGCCAAATTTCACGCCGCACGAAGCCCACTCCGAGATGAAATTCTAATTCGGCAACTGACCCAAGGTCACCTGCGCCTTCCCCAATCGCTCAGTCACGGAGTTCGCCGAGCTCAATATGTGATGCCGATGATCGAAGGCGCGGTGCATGGATGCAATCAAGACGGGTTTCGCGACGAGGTTGCTGAAGTAAAAGCTTCGTAGTGGGACCTGTGGTCATCTCCCAACATTCGCATGATCCACATCGACGCAGCCAAAATGACCTTGAAGCTCTCCACCACGCGGGACAGACGTTCGGGAGTGATGCTTCCGCCGTCAATTGACTGCCCCATTTCAACCGCCGCGCTGAAAGCAGCGATGAGTCTTGTCACAGTCGCCTCCTGGTAAACCGCCATGTCGTCGTCCTTTGGCCTGTCTTCAATCTGCGCACCTGCGTACCACAGCTCCATCCCCAGCTCCAGCGTGTGCGAGCAAATGGCAGGGCTCTCGACGTTGCTCCACTCCTCCCCATGCCACATTGCACGCGCGAAGTCGGTGGCCACTGATTCGAGGACGTACTGGAAGGCGAGAGTGTCTCCCCTCTCTTTGCACCCCGACTTGAAGACCCATCCATGCAAAACCCGCATCGCCATGTTTTGGCATTTTGATGCCTGACTCAGCGCTCCCTGCAACTGCGCTGCATCCGTGAGCCTCGTCATCGTCACATTGGATCTGGGCATGGTGACGCTTCTGGGGAGTTAGGGAGAGGAAGGCCACTGGCTATGGCGACGAGGTGCTCGAATGTGTCGTTGACGATGTTGTAAAGTCTGCGCCCCTCCCCCAACTTCCAGAACGACTGGTCGTCCACCCACAGTTTCGCCCGATCCGCGAGGTCTTTCGCCATTCCGCCCTTTCACACCCTGTTCACGAGCGGTTCGTCATCATCCGTTGCCTTTTTCTTCTCCACACGCGCCCGGTCCACAGCCCTCGCCGCCTCCTTTCGCCTGCACTCCTCCCCTCCCGTTGCACGCGGTGTGATTGCCACGTGTTCGACGTTAGCACCCGCGACTTGGGCCTGCACCGAATCTCCCGCCGCGCCTGCGTCGCCCGCAGCACCTGCTTGCCTTCCGCCTGCATATTGCTGACGCGGCGTCGCCGCCATAGCCCCTTGCGGCGTCTTTACAGGTGCGATCGTCGCACCCCCTTCGCCATGGTCTACCCGCGCGGCTTCGTCGACATCAATGTTGATGATGCGCTCCTCCCGTGTCCGAGCCACCGACGACTCGGACGTTAGCGCAGGCCCGTGAACACTGGTAGGCATAACGGGCAGCGAAACTTCAGGAGTGGGGTTCGTCGACACGTCGTTCACATCGCCGGCGCCTGGTCTCCCCCACCAGTCACCCTTCACTTGCTTGCCGCTAGTCAACGTGGTGTCTTGGGGGCTCCGTTTCGCCTTTGCTACAGGCCGCCCTCCTCCTGACCCGACCACCACCTCCCCATCGAGGGCATCACGTTTCTTACCGCGCCCGCGAGCGACGCTTCCTTCCCTCGGAGCCATGGCAACACTGAACGATTGCGTGGGAACTTGCACCGCCGTCCACCGAATGCCGCACACGGGAACGCGAGGGATACACGATCTTCAATTCACATGTCGACGTCGACCAGGCGGAGGCAATCACCTGTGGAGTCTCACGTTGTGAAGGCGACCCGCCGATGACCAGCAGTGGAGAAAGAACTCGCGCACGACGACCTTGGAGAGGATTGTCCCGCTTCCGAAGACGATCGACCACGGCGATGGCAAAGAGGTGTCTGCTGATGGAGACGTGCGGGAAGTGGTGAGCGAATGACGGGGGGACCTCCAGGACAGCGCGGCGACGAAGGTCGTGGCGAGGTACTACACAGAGCGTATGATCCACTACGACGAGGAGAGTGACGCCACAGCGAGAGCGCACGAAGGTATATACAAGCTTCGCGAGAGCGCTCCAAGGTGTACTGCCCAGACAAGATTGGGTAGGTGTGGACTCACTTTTATAATGTGCCCGTCAAAGTCGTCCCAGCAGTGGGAGAGCGACGGTGACATGCACGGAAACTTCATGAGAATCAGCACAGGGACGATCACCCCAACAGCCAGACGACCCAACACAAGGAGGAAGCATTGGATCACGCCAAAAGGGACCCCCCCCCCCCCCCCCCCCCCCCCCCCCCCCCCCCCCCCCCCCCCCCCCCCCCCCCCCCCCCCCCCCCCCCCCCCCCCCCCCCCCCCCCCC